ATTGATGTAGCGGAAGACTTCTGTGCCAGGGTTGCAAAAAAGGTGTCCGGGATCAACATGAGTAACCTACGAAACGCGCCGGCGTCCAGAGACACTCGGATGGACAATATGTTTTCTATAGAGGAGCTTCAGGCAGCATTGGCAGCATGCAAGCACTCGTCATCGCCTGGACTCGATGGATTCACTTACATGGCCCTTGCTAACCTAGGACGAACAGCTCGGCGTGCCCTTCTAGCTGTATACAATGACTCGTGGAGCAATGGTTTGGTTCCTCCTTCGTGGAAGTGCAGCCGCCTTGTGCCCCTGCTCAAACCAGGCAAATCGCCTCTGGACATGGCCTCCTATCACCCCATCGTGCTTGCCAGCTGCTTTGGAAGGTGATGGAGAGAATGGTGCTGACTCGCCTGGAGTGGTACTTAGAACATAACAATATATACCCCGATGCTTTGACCGGCTTTCGACGTGGACGGTCTTCCGTAGACAATGTTGTTGATCTTGTCACGTCTGTACAACAGCAGAAGAGCTTAAAGAGATTATCAGCGGCACTTTTCTTGGATATTAAGGCTGCATACGACAATGTATTACATGAAACCATCCTGGACGCCTTGGGCAGCATTGGATGGGGAGGCCGCGTTTACAAATGGATCTACAGCTATTTGAAGGACAGAACATTCTTCGTTCAGACAGAAGATGGCGCAACAAGGCAACATCATACTTATCGCGGCGTACCTCAAGGTGGGGTCCTAGGCCCCATACTTTTCAACCTTGCGCTCATCGGCCTCGTTGACGTCCTGCCACACTCCGTACACCTGTCGATATACGTGGATGACATCTGCATCTGGGCATCAGGGGTCACGCGTCTACACGTACGAGCCAGGTTTCAGACAGCGGCTACACAGACGTCAAACTACCTTCAAGGACGAGGACTGCAGCTGTCATATGAGAAATGCTCACTAGTCGCGTTTACACGCAAGACAATGACGCCATACCACATCAGAATTAATGGACACACAATCAGCTATCAAAAGACTCACCGTTTCCTGGGAGTAATAATAGATCGTGATTTGTCTTGGAGCCCTCATATTGCTTACATGAAGAAGAAACTGACCATGATCACCCACGTCCTAAGGTTTCTTGCGGGAAAATCATGGGGTGCACCGGTACGAGCCATGCTTCAACTGTATGCTGCACTTTTTCTTGGCTTCATGCGCTACAGCCTACCTGTGCTTGGCAAGGCCCGCATAACAAACATACACGTCCTCCAGTCATTACAAGCTCAGGCACTGAGAATATGCCTCGGGCTGCCGAGATGCGCATCCTCAGCAGCGACTGTCGCAATCGCTCATGAACACTCTATCACAACCTACATTCGTGTCGATGCTTTAAGAACGCACATAAGACATGCCACCCGGATTCCATCACATCACCTCGCCTCCCTTCCAACTTCCAGGCCATGCTCTGCGTTCTGCTCTATTATTGCCCCACATCGCACGGTGATTCCCACGAACTTCACGCACGCAGCAAGGCCGTTGTTACCATTGTGGTGTCTACATCCACTGGAAGCCCTGATAACCATTCCCGGAATGCAAAAGAAGAAAATTTGTCAAATTTTGCCCTAAAACAAACAACATTACTGTTTCTGCATGAGAAACACAGTGGACGCATTCACATTTGCACGGATGGGTCGGTCACTTCAACAAGTTCAACAGGCGCAGTGGTAATTCCGGAGAAATCCATCACGATAAAGCTCAGGACTTCACATCTGACATCATACACGGCAGTAGAACTCGCTGCCATTCGTGCCGCTCTGGAGTTCCTAGTTGAAGAACCGCAACAGACATGGTCAATGTTCTCCGACTCCAAAGCAGCTCTCCAGGACATTGCCTCGCCATATCGTCATGGACCAAACGAACAGCTAATTGCTGAAATACGACTGCTTCATCACCAGGCTATAGAGAAACAACATGACATAGCGTATCAATGGATACCAGGCCACTGCAGCATTGATGGAAACGACCGTGCAGATGAAGCAGCCCGAACTGCTCATGATGATGGCCCTTTTGTAGCTATACCATTATCAAGAACGGATGCCGCTGCAAGGCTTCGATCACTTGCACGAGAACTGACACTCGCTCAGTGGAATTCACCGACATTCACCAACGCCCGCCTTCATAATTTGGACCCACACCTACAGCTCCGTCTTCCATCAGGAATAACCAGAGCAGAAGAGACACTTTTGTGCCGTCTGTGGATTGGGGTGGCCTTTACGAATGCTTATTCGTTTCGAATCGGAATGGCCAGAAGCCCGACATGTGACAACTGTGGCTGCGCAGAGACTTTCTCCCATCTTCTCTGCGAGTGTCCCCGCTTCAGCGTGCCAAGAAAAGAACTGTCAAAAGCTTTAGATAGAATAGACAATCGCCAATTGTCGGAAGAAAGCGTATTAGGACACTGGCCGAGACCGTCCTCTGCAGGCAAGGCACTGAGAGCGTTGTTGCGCTTTCTGCGGGCAAGTGGTCTTAGAGACAGACTGTAAACAGCGTCGTGGATCGTCTGATGACCTTCTCTCTCTTTTTTTTACAACGTCTCTTTTCTCTCATCATTTATCCCCCTTACCCCTTCCCCAGTACAAGGTAGCCAGCTGGTGTGAGAACTGGCTAACCTCCTTGTCCTTCCTCATTTATTCCTCCTCCTCCTCCATCCAATTTGACCCAGGCTCTTCTCCGAATAGGAGCTTTGATTAAAACCATTTTGGAGGTACAGTTGTACCGTGCCGCTCTAGAGTGAAGAGCATCGCCGAAGCCCTCGCGTCAGACGCCAACACCAACTGCGACAACTACAAACTGCTCCTGTTGCACGATGTTACCATTGGCAGGACCATCACCAGAGACTACGACCACTTTCAAGCTGCAACGGCTGGTGACACACTCTACACAACCAGCAACGCATGTGAACACGCACTCACCAGCTCTTTTTGTACACGATCCGTACGCCTTTCGTGAAGGACCACAAGCGCAAGAGCTCATGACACCCATCGCTGTGTTCACTGACCCACTGGCACTGCTTACTATACCAGTGCTCTTGGAAGTTCTGTACAATAAGTAAGGGTGTGCCGGAACCACAAGTGAGTCCGACGCCTGTCACTTCCGAAGTGACATGTCGCTCAAAAAAGGCGATTCACCTGTTATCGTGGAAATCATCGCAACAGGACCTACCAGCAAAGCCATGGTTTTCTGCTGATGACGCGATTGTGGGTGCCATCTCAAATTCATGCCTCACATGAAGGAACACTACGTCCAGCATCTTGGAAAGCTGGTTGCGATCAATAATACGACAGAATCGGCTGTGTTCTATATGGTTTCGAAGTTTCATCGCGTAGTCGAGGATACATATCAGACCCCCCTACCGACGCACTGGGGTCAGTTATGACCCACCCGACCGACCCGAATTCGTATAGCATCTACAATCACCTTCGCTTTGGCCGTATGCGCAGCACCACGACAGTCATCAGGGAGGCATACGTCGACTGCAGCTTGATTGATTGATTTGTGGGGTTTAACGTCACAAAACAACTATTTGATTATGAGAGACGCCGTAGTGGAGGGCTCCGGAAATTTAGACCACCTGGGGTTGTTTGGTTTATTAAACCTGGGACCCAAATCTGAGTACACGGGCCTACAATATTTCCGCCTTCATCGGAAATGCAGCCGCCACAGCCGGGATTTGATCCCACGTCCTGCGGGTCAGCAGCCGAGTACCTTAGCTACTAGACCACCATGGCGGGGTTACGACGACTCCAGCAGCCTAGCATATATATATATATATATATATATATATATATATATATATATATATATATATATATATATATATATATATATATATATATATATATATATATATTATATATATATATATATATATATATATATGTATATATATATATATATATATATATATATATATATATATATATATATATATATATATATATATATATATATATATATATATATACTTCGAGAATAGTGCAGTATAGGAAACAAAACAATAAAATATTTATTTAATCCTAACAGTTTCGGCTGGTGGACCAGCCTTCTTCGGAGGATGTAAGTGAAATGATACAAGTTCCCGTAGCAGAGGTTCACCCTCACAGTTTAAAGACCCTCCAAAAAAAGAGAGAGAGAAAAAGACAAGCGGGCGAACGAGGTAGCAACAGACAACAAGAAGCAGAAGAAGGAGAGGAACTAGAAAGGAGCGACGGAGAGCCGCCGGAAACGAGCGGGTAATTCTGGCATTGTTGCTGCGTATAGGTAAGACGCGCCGCCAGCGGTGGCGACCAAGAAAAACGGAAAAATGTGGAACATGTTGCCGCTTACTCGCATCTCACACATGGATCGAGTTTAAGTTCACGTGGTTCGGCGGCTGGCCCGATGCCACGGGCCAGCCGCCGAACCACGTGACCGAAGAAGGCTGGTCCACCAGCCGAAACTGTTAGGATTAAATAAATATTTTATTGTTTTGTTTCCTATACTGCACTATTCTCGAAGTTTATAACTTTTATTACGGTAGCCGGAAGAAACTCTGATCATCTATTTCATCTATATATATATATATATATATATATATATATATATATATATATATATATATATATTGTATAGACCACCTAATGAATATAACCAACCAAAATAATATTCATTGTTCGGTGGGGCACAACAAGTCAATGCACGAGACAGATCACCGGACAAGCATTAGTCACGTGGTTGTTCTCGGCCAGTGCTTGTCTGGTATTCGCTCTCTTGTGCTGCCTAAAAAGAATAATGTTCGAACTCAGCAGCTTATTAGTTATACTGAAATGTTATCATGATAACAGGCCAAAACTTCTTACCACCACAATTCAGATTCAAACTAATATATTTATGTCAAAGTGCTTCCAGGGAGCAGCGCTAATGCATGCAATGAGAACAATTTTTGTCATTCGTAGTAACTGTCTGCACCTTTGTGAGAATCACTGTCGGAGGGCCACCAATTGAATACCCGGAAATCCCGACTCGCAGCGTTGAGAGTCCACATGGTATCGGCATCTTTTCGCTCTGGGAACCATCCGCAGTTTGAAGGATCTGAGAAGCTGCAGGTCACCGTCTCGGCTGCTTCCACTGAAACGACATAATATATGCCATCATTTATTTGCTTGTAGTGGTTTCGTAGCTAAGATAATTAAGGTGTCGTCGCCTGCTAAACTCCGAAGTAACTTTTGGTATCGGGAACTCACAGGTTAGAGAAATAATGGGCAGATTTCACGTGCAGTGGTAATCAATGATATGCGAAGTACGAATCAGGAAGGTTAATTTGTCACTTTAGAATCAGCACAACGTTATGGGACGGACGGACGCAGTACGCTGTAAACACAAGTAGAACTGTTATTCACGATCACGTATCTAGATAAGATGCAGTTATGTTGTTCATAGTCGCCTACCAGCGGCACCACTAACATTTTTAATATTACCACCAGAAGTGGTAAACATGTAAATTAAGCCATGAATTATTTTCATGTCGTTATTATCATCTTTAGACACGTCATTTATCTTCGTCCTCTATTCACGTCACGCAATACGGAATTTCGTATACGTTAAGATGTCGAAACAGCCACGAGCGCATCATAAACATTACATGTAGTCATTGTTTTACATGTCACGCCAGCCATGAGTTGCACCAGTTATATACCTTCGCCATCCACTGACGTCACGTAATGCCAAATTTTGTTTATGTGAGGCTAGTGAAACGAGCACGAGCGCAATATGAGCGTGATGTGTAGTCATGACATACACGACATGCATGTCGAGATTTCCTCGTTATGGCCTGTTACTTATGTTCGCCATGGAGTCATGTCATACCATACCAGTTTCGCAATATGTAATGTGAACGGAATCACTGCAAGACCAGCAAGACCATGACAGGTAAATTATGACATTCGTGAAATATATGTCATGATTTAGATGTTATCACTAGTCACTGATACTCGCTTCACAGTCATACCAATTTCATTAATGAAACGGCCAAAAGATCTAAAAGTCGTAGGCGGCTAGCTAGATAAAGAGACACGGTCAAATTTGCCGAAATTCGGTAAAAAATGTTTCGCATTTCAAAACACAAAAGCTACAGTTAATAAATAATTGACATACAAAAAGGAAGTTTTTTGTGGTGCAATAGTCATTTGCTCCGCCAAATACCAATAATGACATGACTCATGTCTTTCATTTCTGTTGCTAAACCTTTATGAAAGGAATGCGCCATGTCTTCTTGCCAAATATAGCGCTACTCACCTCCTTCACTCTGGCTGTCTGGATGGCACATATTATATTCAATACGGTCGATGCTGACGCCAAGGGTATTAGTCAGGTACACAAACTGTATAAAAAGAAACAAGCAGCCTGAATGTCTAATAATGCACTATGAAGTATGTTGTTATACGTTAGAGAACTGTGTAGAGCCTTATATAATAGGATGATTTTGCTGGTTTGATTGTATTGATACGTGGTGACAATCGTGTAGCCACTGATGAGTATATTGTTTATTAAGGTACGTCACACAACATTAAGAAACTCGATGGTAAGCATATTGATTTTCTCTCAGAACACTTCATTGTGAGAGCCAGTGTAAACGATTATACGCTAGAGACAATAAAACTTTACCTTCCGCTGTAGGGAATAAACTATGATAGATCAATAAACATTTATGACGTCGGCTCTCTTCACTTGTCATATAGGCCACTGTTTCAAGTTTCTTGCGTTGCTTCACTTGTTATCGAAATTCGCACTTCCCTTTCAAATCAAGTCGAGCAATTATGCACTGAGAGTTAACGATACAAATTTTAAAACAATAGATCACACAAAGATACAATAAAATATTTTTGATGAACGCAGTGCAACGTTTTAGTTTCAATGAAGGCTATAATGTTTTACCTGAAAAGGTAGTTCGATAAAAACTATTGAAAAGACGGTATCAAAGAAAGACATTTAGTTTTATTCATCAACATCGTGATCATGAGCCTGAATACGTCCAACGTGGGACAACGGTTTCTCCTATGTTCCGCCAGTCAACATAGTGCTTGCTGCTGCCACTTTTTATACCCACAAACGTCCTAATCTCATCAGCTTGCCTATTTGCCTCCCCTTTACCCGTATGTCTTCTCGGTATCCGGTCTGTGATTCTTATTGAGCGGTAATCTTGATTTCGCGCTACGTGCTATGCCCATGACCACTTCTTGGTTTTGCCTATGTCCTGAACACTCGTTTGTTCCCTGATACACTCTGCTCTCTTCTTGTCCCTTAGGCATACACCTACCATTTTCCTTTCCACCGCTCGCAGCGTCGTCATCAACTTAATTTTAACCCACTGTGTAATCCTCCAGGTCTCTGCCCTGTAGGAAAGTACCGGTAAGATGCGGTTGTTATACACCTCCTTCTTCAGTGAAAATAGAAACCTACCACTCATAATTTGAGACTGCTTGTCGAATTTCCTTCACCCTATTCTTATTCTTCTAGTTACTTCAATCTCGTGGCTCGGCTCAGCGGTTACTAACTGTCCTAAGTAGATACACTCTTTTACAACTTCACATAAACTGCAACCTATCTCGAAGCGCTGTTCTCTTCCGTGGTTGCTGTATATTACTTTTGTTTTACGCAGAATTACTTGAAGAGCTACCTTTCTGCTCTTGTTGTCTAACTGAGTAATTAATAATTGCACTCTGGGCGACCAGGATGCAAATCATACTTATTCAATTAGACAAGGAGAGCATCGAACGGACAGCCAAGCTCGGCTTGACGCTCCCTACGTGAGATGAGCCGGGTGGAGCGGAGTGTCCCCTGCTTGATCTCTGGACCAAAATAAAGTTTTAATCATCATGCTTATCATCCTAGTAAAATTCCGGTTCTGTTGGTTTTGTGCAATAAACTCTTCCCACTCGGCACCCTGGACGCACCAGTTGAGGTGGTAAAGCAAAGTAGGAGGAAGAAACATGCCGCCACTACGCAAATAGCGGTGATTGACTTCCTGGTCACATGAAGAAGAAGTAAACGCTGCAGAAGTTCTTGTAAGGCTGAGAAAATCTTATATTTACAGACTGTACAGAATATAATTCATAGTCATGAACATACAAGTTTTATAAAAAACACTTTGCAAATAAACCGTTTGTAGGGCGACCCTACGGGATTTGGCGGAGTCGAAGGTACGCAACAAGTTAAGCACGGTTCAGAATGATTGCTGTAACCCTCGATGCTCCGCCGTTATACAACCCACGGTGAACGATCACCTGTTCTGATAGGACAGTGCACTTAGTCAATCAAAAACTCGTCACAACAACGTCACCTACCTGCACGTTTGAGAGATCATGCCGTCGCCCCAAATAACACAACCAATTGTTAATATAATTAAAACGTCCTAGCGGAAAGGTCCAGCTCAGCGGGCGCATACTTGTCTAAACTTAATATTGCGCATACTGGGATTTGCGGCCATAACAAAGGCGTCCCTGGTAACTCGTCAACTTCTTGCCAATGGAACAGTAATCCGCCTGTCCACAGTGACATGCAAGTGGAACTGCCGGCTCTGCGCACGTGGTTACACTTACGCAATCATTTGAAAGAATTAGCCTGAAGTAGCCGAAGGCACGCCAGGGCAACAGCATCCATCAAACGTGTCACTTTCATGTGTTGCAAGCACGTCAGCTTCCAAGATATACCTGAAACAAGCCGGAATGTGCTGAACGGTCAACGGCGATGCCACGGTATTCCAACGCACGTCGCCATGACTCGGCGGCGAGTTTTAGCTGTGCGAAGAGCAAACGTAAGCCGAACTGATGCGAGAATTCACCCTGCTGCGCTAGATCTCAAAAGGGGCCCTTCGATGTGCAGGCCAAAAGTGCCATGAGGCATTCAGGGGGTCGTCACAATGACGTTTTCTACCTCTCTGTCACTCGCGTGCAGGTTGGCTCGATTGTCCTGGTTTAACAAGAACTAGAAGCGCTCGGTAATCTCAGACACCTTAGCACATTGCAGGGCGCTGTGCGGGTACATGGTCGAGTCTGTGCGGTAAGGGCTGCTCTGTTTGTACACTTCGGCTCTGCGCTGTGAAAGCAATACTGCGTGCCGGAGCGAATGCAGTGCAATGGCTGACATTCCTCCTCAAGCTTACCGCACCAAGTAAATAAAAGTAAACTAAAACTGCCGCCCAACCTTTTCTTACCGTGGTCCTACAACCATCTCAAATTGCAATTTGTCCCGAGTTACTCAGCATTTCAAGATTCTTGGCAAAGCGCAGGTTATACTAAGGTGCTCTGCATTAACTTGTACCTCTAAGTCTTCCCATTAGAGGCCTCGGAAAACTTCCCACAAACACGTGGTAAATAACATTAGCTAGATCGTATCCCTTTTTCTTAAACCCTTTTTTATTGATATTCTGTCACTTTCTTCATGGAGCACTATGGTGGCAGTTTATCCACTGTTGATTTGTTCCGGGATGTTTAAGTTTGCTTCGTCGACGCCCCGATTCAGCAGTGACTGCATGACTGCAGATATCTCTACTGGATGTAAATCCTTCTCGTAATTTCTGAAGATTGATTATGTATAGTGGCTGGGTGTATTCTGAGCGTCTCGCTGTCACTGGATCGATGGTATGAATTTGCTTGATTGTTAAGTAGCCGGTACAAAATCCTGCTTGGTCTTCAGTTGATTAAATTTTAATATTTCTTATTTCTATTAGTGATAACCTTTGTAAACAGCTTGAACACGAAGAGCAAGCTGAAAGGCCTGTAATTTTTGAAGCTCTTGTCGTCCCCTTTTCTATGAATTACAACGAAGTAAGCATTCTACTAAGATTCTGGTATCCTCTTCCTCGGGAGACACTTCTTAAACAGAGTGGCCTGTTTTTCGAACAATTATGTCCTTTATCCTTCAGCAGATCTGATGTTACGTGATCCCCACCAGCAGCTTTACCTCTTTGCATTTCTTCCAAGGTTTTCCTGACTTCTGCCGCTAGTGGTGGGATGTCATCTGGGGTATAGTGCTAGTTCTAACATTACGGTCGTGGTTTTCACGGCTACTGTACAGATCCATGTAAAACGCCTCCGCTACTTTGACTGTTGTTTTCATATTGGTACTTACTTTGACTTCCTTGCCCCTTAGTGCATACATCCAGTGTTTTTTCTATCCAAAGTTTCCTCTTCACCACTTTGAAGCTTCCTGTACTCTTCAGCGCATGTTCCAATTTCTATACGCAATACTTTCTTACATCGGATACCTTACGCCTATGATTCGAATTGGAAAGCCCTGCCAACTCCATTTCGTCTTTTGTGTCTGAGGCGTTCATGCTTTGACGTTCCTAAGGAGGTTTTTTGTCTCTCAGGACTGCTTGTTCGTGTCCTGTCTAACTGCTGTACCTCCAACTTTCTTCACAAAGTCCACAATGATACTCATCAGATTATCAATATTCGCGTCGATGCGAAGCCCGCTTTCCTCAACAAGAGCTAAACATGTGTTCTGAAGTGTGACGCTGATTTCCTGTACTTTCCTTCTCAGTGCTACCTCATTGCTTTGCTCCTTCCATAACAGTTACTGTCGTTACTGTTTCAGGCCTACGTGAATTACAGACCTTACTAATCTAACGTCCTTGCTTTCTACCTCGCCAGACTCTCCCACATCCTGCATAATGCCTGGGTGTGCACTCAGTATAGTGTTTATTTCGTTCTTACTTTTCTCATCAGGCTTCCTTCACGTCTATGTTTTCTTACGGTTATCTCGTTTTCAGTAGAAGGTTTTCAAGATCCGTAAATTGTTCTGTGTTGCGAATTCGACTAATAACTGCTGTTATAGCATTTTAGTACCAATGTAATAATCACCTATTGCCTGCTGTCCAGCCTACTTCATTCCTACCTTGGCATTGAAGTTACCCATCAGTACAATATACTGCCTTTTTACTTTACTCATGGCCCATTGGACGTATTGACCAAAATTTCAGCAAATACGTCATCATGGTTGGATGTAGGCACATCGGCCTGTACCACCTTCATTTAGAATCTTTTTAGCACTAATTGCGATACCCGCCACTCTTTAATTCTGCTATGCTCTTCCCCTATGTTAGCAGCTATGTTTTTGTGGACAAAGAACCTCACGCTCAGTTCTCTTCAGCCAGACAAGCCACAATAGCAAAGGACGCGCTTATTCTGTACCACTGTATAGGCTTCATCTGTCCTCTTAACCCCACTTGGCCCTATAACGTTCCATTTCCGGTTTAATGACGGTGAAACGAAAAATACAACATAATCGACTGATGTTCTTTTTTCACATACTCAATGGAGACTACAAGGTTCACCTAAAGGAACACATCGCACTACAGCCATTTACCACATCCAGAACAAAACACTCGAAACATATCACACCACTTAGCTACAGAACAGATTTATTCAAGTATTCATTTTTGGTTCGAAGCATCGATGACTGGAATCAATTACCTCAATACATAATCTAACATTGTGATTTACAAAGGTTCGAAAAAGCTTTGTCAGAATATTTGTAACCAAATTGCTTGTTCCTTGTTGGTTGAATATGTTGAATGTACTATATCAATATGTTCAATATGTATTATATCCCTTCAAATCTTTTTTTCTCTTTTTGGTGACGTGTACGAGATGTATTCGAACATGTTTCTTTTATTTGTGACCTATGCGGGATGTATTCTGATATAGTTTTGCGTTTTGTTTTGTTATTTCCATACAGTGTGCGTCTAGAGCATACAGTGTGAAACTTGTTTCCACATATGTTCTTTGTACATGCCAGATACGTAACCCCAACTCCTGTCTTGGCCCTTGACCTGACAGTATAAATAAATAAATAAATAAATAAATAAATAAATAAATAAATAAATGAATAAATAAATAAATAAAAATTTTATACCGTCTAGTTCCTCGAATGACACAGCTAGACTTGCCTCACTTGATAAGGTTCTAGCAATAAACGTAGCTGAGTTGAGGTTCTTATGGCGGCCTCTCCGGACCCAGGGATTCTTAGCACCCTCTGCGGCGTCGCAGATCTGACCACCACAGTGGTCGCTTGCTTCACAGTCACTGAAGATTGAAGGCCGAGGGTTTTTCGGCGTAGTCATGAAGGACGTAGTGACCAGATACTGCACAAGGGTAATCAATCCTTCTCTGGTGAGGTTGTGCATTACCGCCGGTGGCCAACAGTGAGGCCACATTCCAGGCTTCTTTATTGCAATTTTATCATCTCTTGGATAACATTTTTACACGGTGGGGAAAGGCGCGGCACTGAAATTCAGGCCACGGGCCGCTTACAAGCGAGGCTGATGCTCTAACCACTTCGCCACGCACCAAATTTCTTTAATTTCAATTCTTTGTAATATATCCCTAATAAATTAGAACAAATCAGTGGCTCTAAAGAATTATTTTTACATTTATGCCAGGCTGCTTAAGGTGTTTCGAGTGATGTCCACCACTTTAATTTGGTTGTTCAAGAACTGAACGATTGCTGCATCCTGCCTCTACATTGGCTCGCACGCAGTGTTTTCTTTTCACGAGCAATTTACCTCCTCAGGTACTCTTTTGTTATACATATGTGAATTATGAATAAAATTTTAAAGTGATGCATGATGCATAGACATAAAAGTAACACTTGCATAAAAGATACAAAAAACAGTGTTGCAATACTAAATCCTCCGCAAAGGGGGACTTCTGCTTTGAGTACGGTAGAATGTTTTCATAAGTGCCTTTTTTAGTTCTTGCTGGTGTTTCGTTTGCTGCTCAAGTTTTCCTGGTCTCTCGTTATGTGCGAAAAAGCAGTGGTGTTAGTTATACTTTCAGATAATTGGTTCTCTTATTTCTTCTTTAACAAAATGTTCCACATATGTATGTGCACTGTATATGTTTGGTCATTTCGTATATGTGATCTAGATAAAAATAGTCGTTACAAGGCTTGACAATCTTCCCATAATGCTTAATACAGATGTTCGCATCATCTTTTCTCTGATAATGCGGGACAGCATTTTGCTTAGAGTCTTACTGATTAGCTCTCACTGACGCTCAAGATTGGCAACTTTTATCTGCAGTGCTTTTCGTATTGACACAGCATGTATAGGCACCTATCACTTGTTTTGCCGCCCTCACTAGTAGTAGTCGCGAAGTATAGCTTAGAAACCAAAGATGGCAAAGCTATGAGTGAAGCTTACCTTGGCTCCGGCATCCCAATCACCGACTCTCACAAACATCTTTGTCCATTGACCCTTCAGTTTCCTTCCGCTCACTGTGCCCAAGAACTGCAAGGTGCTTTGCTTAAAGTCAAATACTTGACGAGGCCGAACCCCGAACATTAGCATTGCCGTAGCTGCGAATAGAGAAAAGCAGTAAGATGTCGTGATTTCCTTTTCACAAATTCTTGTGTCTCGTATTCAATATTCTTAATATTCATATTTATGGTTTCACGTCCCTAAATCACATTGTGATTATGAGAGGGGTCAGAGTAAAGAGAACCGGAAATTTAGTCCACCTGGGGTTCTTTAACGTGCATCTAAATGTAGGTACAAGGGCCTTAAACATTTCCGCCTGCACCGAAGATGTAGCCACCGCAGCTACGATTCACTCCCGCGACCTCTGGGTTAGTAGTTGGGTGCCCTAACCACTAGACCACCGTGGCAGGGCATATCCAATATTCGCGTATGAACAAACATGACTACTATGCATTTTTGTATGATCACATTAGATAATCATACAGTTTCATAAGTGTAACATGAACTTTTGGGATAGGGTCAATACAAGAAATTACTTGATGTACTCAATACACAAATATATGCACGGAGTCTATGATGATCAGCGGGGCGAAGCGTCCGTCAGCCCGTCTGTACTTCCATTCGTCCGTTCGTTCTTCCTTCCGTCAATCCGCGAGACCATCCTTGCGTCCATTCATGCGTCCGTCCGTCTGTCCGTGTGTCCGTGAGTTCATCCATTTATCTGTCCGTCCGTTCTTACGTCCATCCGTCCGTATTTCCACGCATCCGTCCATCTGTCCGTCCGTCTTCTAGTCTGTCTGTCCGTCTATCCATGTATACATCTAGTGAACACTCCAAGTACCACCATCTCGCATCCCTTGTGGGACATACTCGCTCCGTGGGTCCGTCCATCCGCCCGTCTATCTGCTAATCTGTCCGTCCATCCATGCGTTCTTCTGTGCGTCCAGTCAGTGAACACTCTAAGTACCGCTATCTCCCATCTCGCATCCCCTGTGGCACATACCCGCTCTAGAGCGCGTATGTGCCACCGGTGGCCACGTACGACAACAACGGAGCTTCGCCCCTGAAAGAATTCTTCGAATAGGTCGTGTTCTCAAGAACTATATCCCGAAAGGAGAGCAATGTAGCTGCAAATCTCTTGATAATGCACGTATACTGTTTTGTACAAAGTAGTCGACGACCGATGCACTTAAACTCCTGTTTTGTAAGAGCAAAAAGAAAAGTGTGATGGTGTAAATGAATTGAAACGCGGAGAAACTTTGTGTTAAAGAAATCTAAACTATGTAAACCATAGAAAAGAAGGAGTGAGTTACTACTGCAGGCAAGTATGATGAATGAAACTGAAAAGTTAGTAGAATATACGTCAAGGAAATTTAGCGCCACTTTGACTAATATTTATTTAACTAATGATTTATTTATTTATTCATTTATCTAACTGCCAATCTCATCATAGATTATAGCAGAAACGGCACATGAAAACAAATATATGTTTACACAAAGTCATAATGATGGAAAACACAAAAAAAGCCGGAATTAAAAATTGACATACAAATCATAGAATGTACATTGCCATTGTTAGGATTAGGTTGGTGAGGCAAAAAGTTTTACCTTTTGAGTAATTTATCATACGTAATCAATATGACAGCTAAACGTTGCTTGGAAACACTCAGCAAAAATAAATCTTTAGTATTGTAAAATTGCAACAAACAGATGAATGCTCCTTCAAATGGTAACACCTTGAAATGGTATGATCAAGTAAAATTAAAATGTACATGTAGTGTTGCGAGAAATACCGTAAGCAACCTTGGCTTTACACATTCTTTTTTGATCAGTGTGGTTTTTATCTTTAAATTATTATGCAGACAAGAATTGCATAGTTACAGTGTGCACCACGACCCTCGATTATATCTTGTGTAACAACCTCGATTATATCTTGTGTAACAAATGCAGAGTACAAAGAAAAACTTGGAATGCATAAGCAAAAAAAAGTACTTTGTGAAGATTCAGAAAGGCATCAAACTAACAGTGTAAGTACAAAATTTTGGTTAGAGCAGACAGCTACTAATAGCAATAAAGAATTGCATAAGGTAAATCAGCCAAAAAAGTATTGTTTAGTTGTTATTCATAACGGCAGAAAGCGAATGAAGATATGATGATATGGTAAACTGTTCTAAAGTTTCAGTGGGCAAATTAATAGAGCCTTATACCCGTAACCAGTGCGGCATACAGCTAACTGAAAATGTTCTTATGCAAACTTCTGCTATTGAGAAAATATTATTGTTTAATATATCATATTTATTTCGTGACTGGTCTTTACATGGATTGTGGAACATTACTATATTTATGAAAGCAGAAGCACCCAATTAAGCGCTACATTGAAAACGTGTATAATACTAAAAGCGTAGCTTATAGCAAACAAAGTGGACAAACTTGCATATTAATTTACAAATGAGACAATGTTGACAACAATTACCAAAATCAGTCGCGTAAACACTACTAAATATTAAGTGGCACAAATACAAACTCAAGATACAATACTTCAAGCTATACTACCTTTGATTCCTTTTTTCTGTTATCAAGTTCACATTGTTTTTTCATCGTTAGGTGTAGTGATTTCGGGACTTACTAGCACTCGCTGATTTTTTTTCTGCTCTACAACATCTGACATGTAAATGGCATTGTCATTGCAAACATACTCGGCCGCCGCCTTCGGATGCGTGCTACCAAAATTTTCTGAAATGGGCCTTAACATTGTATTTTTTAACTTAATAATTCAGATCAATGACAATTCCTGATCTGCATATAATAGCCTTCCTTAGAGACAACAATAAACGGACAGTTACGTAGCAAGCGCGAAACAATGCATTCGATGGTGTAAAATCGGTATGATGCGTGAAGGAAGGCTAGGAGCTCAATATTGGAGAATTTAATCACCCATAAATTAAAAGAAAGATGGCGTAAACGAGCACAGCCACTCCAAGATTCGAAGCGGTTTTTGGTTGCCATCTCTTCGTGAAATAAGCGGCCACAACGCTGCAGGCACAAACATTCGACCAGCCTCCTGTTATTGGTCCAGATAGTTGTGATGAAATTTTGAATATACTGAGCAGTTGCAACTTGAGTGACGCAGCCACACTGCAACGGCACACTCTTTCACGCTCCTTCGCTCTACGGAAGACGCTCAGAGTTGTTTTGTTTACCTAAGGAGACACGGACAGAGATCTTCGCTCGCGGGTGGTATTGTTAACGCCCCCTTCACGCGACGAAGATGGTAGGCTCGTTTCATCTCTGCTCCAACCGAGTTTTTTGGCGATGCTAGTGAGCATTTGTTTGCTCGCACGTATGGAACGCACGACGCGTCGGAGAGGGCTAAAGATTTGGTCTTTGTGACGGTATCGGCAAGGAAAAAAAGCACGCCCAGATTGTCGGCACCATTACTATCACCATAAATGTCGTTTCTGACGTCAAATTACCCTGGCGGCTGCCACTGTGAATGTGCACCTGAAAAACTCTTCTGGGTGTGACATATACATACTTACGGTCATTCGGAACGTAGACGTAGAACTTCACCACACAGGAATGCGCGATTTGTCCCAGTGGTGGCGTAGTCAAACCCTTCATCATTTTGTTTACTGGGGCTTCTGAAATGTTCCAAAATGAACAAAAATGTTTATTGTAGAAAGAAAGCATGGTCATTCTTACCATGAGTTAGAGATGATTAAAAATTGACCTCTAAAGGAACCATGTGTAGATGCGAAGTAGCGGACGCTAACGCTTACACTGGCGACGATGTTGACGCTGGCGCTCATCAAGGGAAAGCCAAATGAAGACGCCATTGACTTAATTCCAAAAGCGTGATCCAGTGCCTACATGTAGTGGGTTGCCACTGAACGATTGTGCAGTGCGAGTGGACTTTTTAGGGGCGAAGCTTCTCCTAGTCTAACCTTGTCTTGCGTCAGCCATAGCCGTCAGTATCAGACAAACATACAGACAAAAAAACAGATAAAGAAACACAGATGGACACACGGATGTACGTATGGACAAACGAATGGAAGCATGGACGAAAGCACGGACGGATGGACGGATGAATGAGTGGATTGATGGATGGACGAACGCAGGGACAGAAAAACGGACAGACAGAAGACAAACAGGCAGACGAACGGACGGATGGATGGACGGACGGACAGACAGACGGACGGACGGACGGACGGACAGACAGACAGACAGACAGACAGACGGACGGACAGACGGACAGACAGACAGACAGACAGACAGACAGACAGAGAGCGCTTCGCCTCACTCATCATCAATCACTCTGTGGATACTCTGTCATTTTTTTGTAGGCAGACGAGACTTGCGTCAGCCTTGCGAGGTGAGACAGTGGGAGGGGAGTGCCAGTTTTGCGAGTGTCTTCCTAGGCTGGCACAAGACGTGAGCATGCGCAAAGGAGGTGTACGGAGGGACAGCGTTACACAGGCTAGTGAAAGAGCTGCTTCGCATCCAAAACGCCAAGGTTGCGAAAACGGCCCAGTATGGACACAAAGTAAGCTATTAGTGCAGCCCTAACAATGACTGTTTTAAACTTTCTCAGGATACCTGCTGGAAGCACAGTTGCAAAGTACCCACTACGGAATAAATCGTCACGTTTACCGAAGTTTTCATTCACTCTCTGTGTGTTTCTAATCTAATAGGCACATGTGCATATTGTGACAGGTGGTCAGGGTGGTGAAGTGCACGTTACCTGGGTTACGTAGTGAAAACGCCGCATAGGCTCCTTTGATGTCTGATAGACTGTCTGTGCTTGGGAAGTCTTTTATCTTCCTGCCGTTTTCTACTGACGTCCAGTTCCAACCAAAACGAGCGCTTGGGTCTTCATTCTCCAAGCCGCACATGTCCCTCGTAAAGTCACAGGATCCTATATATATAGGTGATTAGCAGGTAATTAAACATAAATAGAAAGCAATTGATTCAGAGCGAACAGAAAAATCTGCAATAAATACGTCGACTATTTTTTCCGTTAAGGTTGTCTCCACTGAGCATGCTAAAATATTCGCTTACACAGCTTTGCACATAGAACATTTTGAAAGTGTATTCATTTCATTTACCCTGTATTCAAGCCCTATTTTTACATTACATGGTTTATGCTGCACGGTACAGTTGGGAGTCACCTTCAAGATAATCAGAGTGATTTGTTTGAGCTAAGTAACCGTGTCATTCTTTAACCGATCAATTTCCAACTAGTTTTTCTGCTTTTTGTAGGGCTTCATTTCACACACACGCGAAAGCGAGAGAAAGACGGTGTGTGCGTATGTATGTGTTTGTGCGTGTAAACAGCTGCACCTTCTGCAATCACCATTTATTGTTTACGAGAATGAGTTAGGAAGCCAGCAAGATTTCATTAGAAAATAGCGTCATAATTGGCTGGAGTCATACAGAGTCTGGAAACAACACTCTTATTCGAGTCCTCGCTAGACTACTCGCCTGCAGGCAGGATATCAAGTCAAATTATCGCCACTTCTACGCGGCTCCGTAGCCGTCTTCCTGAGAAACCGGCCCCATTCGAAGTGGCCTTCGGAATAGCCGCCACAAAAATTAGCCAAAATTTTAGGCCAAATTTTTCTTGGAAAGATACGGCCTGCGGTTAGGCGTGACATTTACGTAGGCGGCCCGGTCCTGACACGGCGGCAGAAAAAAAAGCATTATTTTACGCTTTTGACCGCCGTTTTTCGCCAATAATGTGGCGGAAATTATGACTACACATAATTAAAAACCGTTAGTGTCACAATCACATATATCTACATCTCTTTTTCAGGCTCGCGCTTGTCGCTGAACGGTTCTGCGTAAGTTCATGCCGGCTTCTGGCTCCAGGCTGGCGCGAGAGAGACGGCGGCTCTCCTCCTTTCCCCCCCTTTTTTCCTTCTTGCAGCTGCTCTTACCTGCTATAGGTGTTACTTCCGTGCCGCGTGACTGTCACGGGTATTTTTATTGCTGGGCTCCCTATAGACAGGATTTTAGTCGGTACGCTGGAGCGTGCCGCCAATATGCCGTTCTTTATGCGGCACCTGACTGAAAGTAAACCTATTTTTGTGCCTGCCATGAAGCACAGCACAGTTTGTTTCACAAAATCAGATCACCGTAATCATCCAGATACGCCAACACATCTTTATCATACCGCAGCACGTGCTAGTGACACTTCATAGAACGCTTCGTACTCTGTGCTGGTCATTTTTTTGAGGAAAGCCCGAAGCGATACATTCACTCACCGCAGCGGGATTCGTCGGCTCCGTTTGAGCAGTCGTCCTTAAAATCACACACCTTGGACAATAGAATACACTCCTTAATACCCGTGCACAGGAATTCCTTGTCTCCACACGTGAACGCTGGCTTTATTGGTGCAGGCGCCAATGGTAGAACTGGTAGAACATACAGCAAAAAAGAAAGAACTAATTTACCTTGAGCAACCGTTTTTATTTGTTTAGGAGCGGTATTAACCAAACCATCGTTCGACTGATGCTCCGGCATAAGCGGAAACCACATATCTTTCTTACCATAAATTTCTGCTAATAATTGTTCGTAAGAACAACTTTTGGTGAAACAGCTGTATAGAAGGGCTTTGTGCTCGAGCTGACTTTTACGTATTCTTTCGTCGGCAACACCCATCTTCCCCTTCCTGTGATTTTTTATATTTACAGACTATGAGAAACTCATTGCGTATTAGCACAGTATATTTTATCGGCGAGGTCTGTGAAATTCAAATTAAAGAGCCATTGATAGAAAACAAGTGGCCACTTGCAGAAGCTTTCGATTTGATAAGTTTTCTGCCTAATCACGTTGATGCGAATTTCGATGGATCAAAAAAGCAATATAAACAGTTTTTTTACTAAAAGCAATATTGTGCACGAAAAACATGACATATTTTAAATGGTTCACATAAGTCAACAAAAATAATTGAACTATTGACTTAAGTTGAAATACGTGGTGCAAGATTGCCAACGAGAAAAACGAGAAGAGACAGAAAGAGCGCCAACTCACAACTAAGCTTATTTCCATGAAGCATTCACAATATATAGGCTCTTCGAGGACATGCGCAGAACATTTAATTCACCGCACGTGCAGACATGAACATTTTGATGATGTAATAAATGATTATTGCAATCATTATATCTGGGAACCAGCAACAAACAGATATGCCTGAAGTGAAGACGTCGGAAAAACAACACACCCAAGCCTGCGCAAGAAAAAAAAATGCGAGGAAGAAACAGCAAAAAGGACTGACAGACATTTCGTAGCAACCTTCTATTGTACATCTAGATCCAACGGTTGGAATTCACTATTATGCAGCAAAACTGAAGGCACGCTGACGCACGAGTCGCCTTTTTTCCTTATGTGAAAGGCTTCGAGTAACTCCCGCACCAGTGCATCCCGGCTCCTTCCAAGTAGTCGCATGCAATCGAACTTCGACGTGCAGCCACACGAAGCACAGTGAAAGGGCAAATGAGACCCTGTTTCATTCCTAATTGATAAGGAATGCTCCCTTAGACAGTCATTTGTACAGTACCCTGCCTGGCCACCTTGCCACAGCTCAGGGGAATTTCATAAACAGTGCCCACGGCACAACGCAGGAAGGCCTTTTCATGCTTCTTATCGCACACTGCCTTGGCACCTCTTGAAGAAATGCGGGCACAGCGCCTTGAAAGCTTTTTCGGAGCAGAGAAGACCACCAGCATATGGAGCCGATTTGCAATCTTTTTCAGGTTGTGGGAGATTTCGTGCATGTATGGTACAACATGCAGTCTTTTCTTCTGTCTTTGCAATGCCTCTGGCCTCTTGCGTTCCCCTTTCAGCCTCTAAAGCAGTGTTTCAGACACACTGACTGAGACCGAATAAGGAAACCCGGCTGCAGTGAGCCGCGATACCTGAAAGAAAAAACTATCACACAGTGTGCTGGCATGGCTTGGACAGCGCAGAACGAAAACACATTGCTGCTATAGACCTCTTCACCACTTTTGAATGTGCAGAATCATATGAAAGAACTCCTTTTCTCGTGCTAGGGCTAAACTTCCAACAGACATGACCCTCGCCCAGAGTCAGGTTAATATCTAAAAACTGCAAGCTTTCGTCAATGGGCAATTCATGAGTAAATAGCAAGCCTTTTCCGTGTTGTCGGAACAGGTTCAAAACTAAGTCTACCTCACTAGAGTGCGTTACAGGGTTAGTAGAAGTTAACACCATGAGGAAGTCGTCCACATATAAAAAAAAATCTCAGGGACTTTTCCTGGATCAACGGCACTTGCTAAATTATTTACTTATTGAGAGTTTTCAATTTCTTGTGTATTTTCAAATGTTAATGTTGCGACAATACATTTGGTCCGTGGATGCACAGAGAACTTGCGCCGTGCTTACGACTTGCCCACCAAGTGGTATGAGAAGAAGTGCGACCTACATCCCTCACGAAAATTTTTCAATGACACATATGCATCGTATTAAACAATGTTTTGAATAGACATTATTCGTATTTGTTCTCGTATGATCATATGATATTTTTGAAGATGTGTCGTACATGTAATTCAACGTTTTTATAGGGATGTCACGTGGTATTTAGCTTCTGCAGCGTTTCTGACTCGAAACAGATGTAATTGCGTTTTTAAATAAAGAAATGACATTCATTTAGCAGTGACAGTCTCCCAAATTTAATCTAACGCTACTGTACTGCAGCCTCTGATCGCATTCATTGTAGCGCGCCTCGGCTGGCAAGGAAACGCAGATGATAACACCATTTCCTTTTTGGTTGCCTAAATAGCCTCAATTTTGCCGTTTACGTACCAGGTCAGTGGGCTTCTGCTGAAGATTGCCCTTGCGAATGCATCACGCTGCTCGATTTATGTAGGCAAAAAGACTGGTGGAAATACATAGTTTCAAAAAATACCTAATTGTTTTAAGAATTGATACCTCTAGTAATTTACCCTATTTTTAGCTAATACATGCGAAGGTCGAATGAGATATTGTGCATTCTTTTGATTGATTGATTTATTTGTGGGGTTTAACGTCCCAAAAGCACTATATGATTATGAGAGACGCCGTAGTGGAGGGCTCAGAAATTTCGACCACCTGGGGTTCATTAACGTGCACTCAAATCTGAGCACAGGGGCCTACAACATTTCCGCCTCCATCGGAAATGCAGCCGCCGCAGCCAGGATTCGAACCCGCGACCTGCGGGTCAGCAACCGAGTACCTTAGCCACTAGACCACCGCGGTGGGGCATTATACATTCTTTTATGCCGACCAGAAGGCAAGTTTTTTGACGTTGAATACAGAAATTTGCCAAAAAAGGGACATTTGCAATTGTTGTCTCTAAATTTGTCTGTTTGTCGGCCTTAACGATACCTCAAACTGCACCAAACGGCCCACCCCATCCGCGCCGCCAACCAATATTGTTCAAGGTTTAGCGTTCATAGTTGTGTGATTGTCAATTAAAAAGGCAAATGTTGCGCATATCTGAGGCGCCATAAGAACACGTAAATGTTTTGTATGTCTGCCTTTATACTAGAAGATGCATACACAAATAACTCTAAAGACTGTAGCGTTTATTGCGCTGCGCTGACAGTGCAACGCGATGCCCCAGAAGGTGTTTCCAACGCTTTGCTACGACAACACGGTGGTGACACCTGCCCGTCGCTTTTCATTCTACAACTTATCACCTCCGAGACTGGCGCGCATCTTTTTCCATGGTCGCGCACGCCTTCGTTTTCGAAGATAACTGCCAGATGGCGCTCGTGTCTAACGTGCCTAGATGCGCACGTTCGCCTCCGCTACACGCTCGAGGCACTTTAACGCAGCACCTTCAGAATACCATTCACCGATTTTCTTGTACAGAACATCAAATAAACGTTTAGTTCACTCTCTCCAGACGCAAGACTATCATCTTTCGACGACTGTTACAGTGTAATGTGTAGATTCGGGCCAATTTTTTGTATGATTTCTGTTTACACTAAGTTTTTCTTCATATGTGACCCTATATTTTAATTTATGGCACGCCTTAACGTCCACTCTTCCAGTTAGAACATTTCGCTTGACACATTTAGGAGCCTTTTCATTTTTATAGGCGTTTGTGGACAGCTCGAGCCTGGTCTTGGCAAGCAGTATTAAAAAAAATGGTGGTGTGGAAGTGATTGCCCAGTAGTGAAGCCGTGCCTATAAGACGAGATGGCGGCTTCGGCGGCCATCTTACTAAGGACATGATAAACTATCAATGTTCAGCGATTAAGAACAGAGCGTTTCCCTTGCACGCCCACCGAGATTAATGCGAAAACATTTTTGGGTCACATTGTGCTTTAAGGTCACAAGTGCTCTAAGGGTTACTAACTTTTCTTAGTAAGGCTCTAATCGGAGGCAAAGTTATTTGGAGATTCAGTCACCCATACTCATTTCTGTATGTTATTTAATAGGGAACAACTATCTTTTAATATAGAACTAACGTAGAATTTACCCTAACATATCAAGCTACTTGATCTTCAAGTGGGTACTACAAGAAAAGAGCATGTTTCCGCCATGTTCACAGTGGCAAACTCTGGCTTCACTTCTGCTGGCAAGGCATTGCGGAAGCTTCCACTTCAGCATTTTTTGAAATCCACCTTTCGGCTTGGCAGGGAGCGAGACAGGGTGATGCGAGAAGTGTCACACAGTGCCGCTAATAAAGGAAGCGCTACGAGACAACGCGAGATGCAGCGTTAGCGTTCTGAAGTTCAAGAATGCTGCTGAACGCACCAATGGCGAATGCGGTGCATGCACTAAGGCTTACGCGTGTGCGCTGTGTCAACTCTGGAACTCAGGCTGGAGCAGTGTCCGGGTGTTTTTGCATCACTTAAGCGCCGAGTGATGTGGAAATTTAAGGTCCATACGTTTAGGATATACAGGATGTTTCAGCTAAAAAGCACTAAGCAATGAAACATTAACATATGAGTGGTACACGTCTTCAGCTAGCGCAGTATTGTTCTTAGCTGCATTTCAATGTCAGAATATTTGTTTGATGCGCCAAGCACAGAAAATAACGAAGGATTCTTAATGAACTTTTCAAATACTGACTATGGAGAAAAATTTTCAATACAAGACTTGTAGCTCTCTCTTATACAGACATAACCAAATTTTCAAGTTACGGTACGATAAAAACGCTGGGTAATTTTATTCCAGGGTTTGTTTGAATGACCCGAAAGTAAAAAAAAATGGCAGCATATCCATGGAGTGAATGATGGAGAGTAAGGCGAAGCATTCGTCCGTCCATTCGTTCTTGCTTCCGTCCATCCATGCGTCCGTCTGTGTGACCGCCCATGCGTCCATCCGCCCGTTCGTGCGTGCGTCTCTTCATGCGTCCGTCCCTGCATTCGTCTATGCATCCGCCCCTGCGTCCGTTCATGCG